CCCCCCCTCCGTCCTTCGGAAGATTACGCTTACTCGATACACTAGACACACAAAACATCCGAGTGTCATAAGCGCGACTCCCGCACGAAACACATACTCAATGCTTCAACTCCCCCCTTGGAAAGAAACCAAGTCAAGAAAGAAAAGTAACGATGCCCAAAGTTTCGAGGCCAGCTATCACAAATCACAAATGTTCAAAGAAGAAAGAAAAGACTAGACCAATGCGATGAGTCGGGCGTGAGGAAGAGAGGGTTGGTGGGACAGCAGTGGGGGGAAAAAAGGGAGAAGCAGCCCTCGGAATCTTAGGGCTGCTGTACCATCTACTCGGCGCCAGCACTGCTGGTGGGTCAGCCCGCGCGCCAAGTGCCTCTGGCTTCCCGACTATCTCTGCAAGGGGGAAAAGTCAGTGGTGACACATCGCGGGGCAGTGTTTCTTCTTGGCACGGGCGGCTTGCTGTGTTGGGTTAGTGTGCGTCGCCGGAGGCATGCAAGCGATCCCAGCGCGACCCTCGACTGACACGGCAGCTTCGGCGTAAGCAAAGCATGGGAATACGTGAGCACGGGTCAGTCTAGTGCGATACTAGGGCTCCCTGAATTGACGAATTACACTAGTTGCAGTACAAGATTGCTTTTTCGTTGTTTCGCCTCGCGTTCCCCTGTGCGCAGCCCACCATGCCTACAAGTTGAAAAGGAAAGAATACGAGACAAAAGGACTGCAACCGGCAACCCGACGATCCATAACCGCACTGGCCCTAGGCGCACCGGATTTGATGCCAGCTTGGGCTGGCGAGTGTTCCCGTTGCGCATGTTTCCATTGACTAGCAGAGGCGCAATTGGGAGTGGGCATCTGCACGCGTCTAAGCAACCGGGGTGCAAAGAATTCCCAGGATTCCCTGTGAAGAAAAGTAGTTAGCCATGGGAGGGTCAGGCAAATGGAGCAGCAGAGACGTACGATGGACAGGGCGCAGCAAGCCGGAGTGCGGCCCAGGCTGGAGCAAGATTGCTTGAATCCCTCGACACTGGCAGTGTCGGTGGCTGGCATCATTAGCAAAGCGTCGTGGGGGAGGGTTTTTGCAAACATACGCGGGACGCAAGTCAAGTCAGCCAGTCCAATGGCATCGAGCTGACAGCACAGAGCGGTGGCCGTGGAAGAGGAGCAGACGGGAGCGTAGCCAGCGTAGGGCAGCGGCGGCTCGCTGTTCCAGCCGTTCAGGCCGTTGCCGTTGAGCCCGTTGAGCCCGTTGAAACCGTTGAAGTTGACCTGGCGGCGCTCGAGGTCATGGTCTGCCTCGGGAAGAGCGACGGCAGAGGCCAAGGCGGCGAGGGCGGCGATGGTGAAAAACTTCATTTTTGATGTCGGTGACGGGTGATTTTGCTTGGTGAAGCGAGTGAATGCTGAGCGACTGTGATGGTTGTCTGAGTGAGCGTGGAGTCTGGATGGGTGTCTGTGAAGCTGGATTTATACGCATGCTGCTGGACTCGGCGGCCCAACATTTCCGGTTGCAGCGGGCAATTTCTTACGATGATGATGGAGTGTTGGAGCATTCTCCATCATTTGCAGTGTCGTCGGCACGTACATGCCATCTCTTGAGGTGTTGGAGAAGGTCAACGAGCCGCAGAAGCTCGGGCGTGAAGGCGTCCGGGGCGGGAGACAGGGCAAGCCAGGGAGGGTGGGTACTGCATCCAGCAGCGCGGGCGCGTTCCCGAATGCAACAATGAGCGACGGGAATAACCAAGGGCGCGGCGGGAGATCGGATCGGGGCGAGCAGATAAATAGCCCCAGAAGGAAAGCCCCCGAGCATCCAATGCGCATCATCAACATGTTCGGAACACTGCGATGTCCGGAGGGCAGCCGACGGCAGAGCAGCAGCAGGAGAAGCCTTTCGTTTGTCGAGACGGGGCCCTTCTTGGGCGCCAGCTTCGTGGCGTGCGAGCGGTGCCGGAGCCGCAAGGTAACAGCTCACAGAAGGCTCTGGAAAGCATGACTGACTCAGAGGCCCAGGTCAGATGCAGCGGGCAGCGCTCGGGATGCGACCAATGCAAGGCCTCGTCGGAGCCTTGCAGCTATAGACAGCACCAGGCAGCAGCACGGCAGCAGCGCAAATCGCCGGCCGGGGCCGACAGCAGCACGCCCGAGAGCATCCCCACGCCGCTGGAGGCGGAGAAGGACGACGAGGCGGGCGAGGGGCTGGAACACGAGGGCGGCATGGTGGAGCAGGACCAGCAATGCTGCCTGGAGCTGTTGCTGGGGCTGCTGAACCAGCTGCAGACGACGTGCGAGACGGAGTGGACGGCGCATGGGCTGCTGGCGGCGCACCGCGAGGGCGTGCCGTGCTGCCAGGTGGCGCTGCAGTGTGCGCGGTGCGCGGGGCAGGGCGACATGGTGCTAATCATGGCCCTGGTGTGCGAGAAGCTGGCACGAATTCTGTCGCGTGCGGTGTGGACTCCACCGGTGCTAGCCCCCGTTTGGCTAGGGCCGTACCAGGTTGCGTCACCGCAGGAACTCCAGGCGGTTGAGACGGCGATGATGAGCGTGCAGCTGCAGGGATTGTGCGGGCTGATCAGGGGTGTGCGCGCGACCGCGCCGTGGGGAGCTGCTGCGGCACTGCTGGCGGCGTCTGAAGCGAAGACGGAAACGATTGCGTTGGACCTAGCGCTACGGCAATGACAGAGACACGGCGGGCTTGGCATGCGCGCTTATATCCACCTCACGTCTCACTCATCCCAATTTGAACCCTTGAATCCATTCACGCCCCTGCTAGTACTATTTAGAACCCTCCTTCATTACGGCTAGCTTGTTCTCTAGCATTTCCACTCGCTCGCTCAGCTGCGCCATTTCGCCTTTGCCCTCGGGCACCCCCGCCATGCAGCGCGTGTTGATCTTGGCGCGGATGCAGCGCGCGCAGCCCTTGCGCGTGTTTCCCTTGCGGTGCGCCTCGGCGCTGTACACCCGGCAGTCGCTGTACTGCTTCGCTCGGCAGTAGTCGCAGCGTGTCCGCGCCGCCTCGCCGTCGCTCGTCTCCATGATCCGCCCGATGTGCTCGAGCGTCTTGAGCCGTGTCGTGTGTTTGATGGCCGTCCATTCCTCGACGCTCACGCTCCACCACTGCCCTTGGGTGATGGGCCGGCGGTACCCTGGCTTCTCGGATCTGCTCTTCGGTCAGCCGGGACGGTGCGTACGAAGGGCTGCCTCACCCGCTGCGGGCCTCAGCCTCGCTCAGGAGTTGTTGCGCCGCTTGGTCGCTCATGTCTAGGAGATGGAGTTGAAGGTGGGAGCGTTGGCACCGGGAACACTCCCTGTTTAATATTTCTTGTCTTCCTGCTAGCTGACGGCACGCCGTTGTGCAACCCGCTTGGGTTCTGCATGCGGCTTCATGTGCTACACCCATGTACGAGCGGTAAAAAAAAAAAAAGGGACGTTATAGAGACTCGGATAATGACCTGCAAAATACGCATCCACACCTTCATAGCCCACCGCAAACGCGCTGCACCACGGAGAAAAACAAAGATACCTTCCGAACGCCGTACTACTCGCACAAACGACCGATGCCCATCTGGACCTTCGCAGCCACGGCCATCACGTGCGGCCACACCTCGGCCATCCGGAACGGCTTGTTGACGACGGAATCCTGAACACGTCAGCTGCTTGTGCATGCAATGCGCCGTGGAGACGTACCATTCCTGCTTCCAGCGCCTCGCGGGGGTCGCTGGTGCCTGTCACGCCGACGACGGGCACGCGGCCAGGCAGCTTGCTGCAGCGCTCCATCTGGCGGATGTTCTTGACGCACATCAGACCGTCCATGACGGGCATGTCCAGGTCGAGCAGCACGACCGACACGTCCATCTTGCGCAGCATGGCCAGCGCCTTGCGGCCGTCCTCGGCCAGCGACACGCGCACGCCGAGCTCGCGCAGCTGCTGGCCCAGCACGCGGCGCACGATGTGGTTGTCGTCGACGATCAGGCAGTGCAGCAGCCCCGCGGGCGGCAGCCAGCGGGTGGCGGGCGGGCGGGCGGCGGGCGGGCGCAGGGCGCGCACGTAGAAGTCGAAGCTGCTGCCGTGGCCCGGCACCGACGACACGCAGATCCGGCCGTGGTGGAGCTCGACCAGGCGGCGCGCGATATGCAGGCCCAGGCCGATGCCGTTGCCGGGCTGCGCGAAGCGGTGGAACAGGCGCTCCACCGCGTCGGGCGCCATGCCGCAGCCCGTGTCCTCAACCGAAAACTGCAGGAAGACGGCGTTATCGTCAGCGTCGGGCCTGGCTGCAGGGGCGCGTGGGGCGCGGTACGCAACGCCGTGGCGCGGCGCGAGCGGCGGGCGCGCGCTGCCCACCTGCAGCGCCACCGTCACCTGGCCGCCGCGCGGCGTCGCCTTGACGGCGTTCGCGGTGAGGTTGACGAGGATCTGGAGCAGCCGGCCCGAGTCGAGCAGCAGCCGGTCGGGCGCGTCGCCATGCACGCGCGTGCGCAGCTCGACGTCGGCGGCCTGCGTCTCGGGCGCGAACAGGCGCGCCAGCTGGGCCAGCAGCGCGTCGGGTTGGGCCTCGCCCAGGCGCAGCTCCAGCACGCGCGCGCCAAGCAGCGACAGCGTCAGCGCGTCGGCCGTGATGCGCCGCTGCTGCTCGGCACACAGCCGGATCGTGCTGCACGCATCGGCGAGCGCCTCCACCTGGACGTGCGTGGCGCGCGTGTCGGCCAGCTTCAGGACCGCCGTTTGGATCGTGTCGGCGGCGTGCAGCACGCAGCCGATCGTGTTCTTCAGCTCGTGCATCACCATGTCCGCCCGCTCCGCCTGCTCCGCCAGCCGCGCCGGCAGCTCCACCAGCCCCACGCACACGGCGCCCGCCGCCGTCTTCTTGCACGTGACGGCCACCCACGCCTCCCCGCCCCCGCGCCGCCGCACCCGCACCTCGACCGGCCCGCACGCCGGCCCTGTGCGCAGCCGCGCAAACTGCTTTTGCAGCAGCCCGCTGTGCTCCGTCACCACCGCCTCGCCGATGCGCCGCCCGCCTTCGAGGTCGACGCCCGCCCGCCCGGCGAGCCGCCGGAACGCGCCGTTGCACGCCTGCAGCGCCCCGGACGCCGCGTCGACGACGACGCACCCGCCCGCCGCCTCCTCGACTGTGTTGTCCAGCACCTGGTGGATCGCCACCAGCCCGCCGGCCAGCGGGATGCCGCGCCACCGCGCCCCGCTGAAGTCGAAGACGACGGTGCCGCCGCACCGCGCCGCTTGCAGCACCCGCCCGAACACGCTCGCCGCGTCGTCTTCGGCCAGGCTCAGGGCCTTGCTCGGATCGTCAAATCCGTCGGCGTAGGCCGGATTCATGTACCGCACGCGCCGTGGCGGGAGAGCGTCTATGATGAAAGTCGGCCGGTCGTCGGTGCGGAAGAGCTCAGTCAGGCTCTCCATGTTTGGGATGAGGAAAGAGAAGATCGGACGATGCCTGCGATCCCCGACTCCCCAGGTCCCGGCTGTTTAAATCGACGATCCCCGCGACAAAGGCCGCCCAAGTGTGCCAGTCGGATGCATATCTGTGCTCCCCCCCGGCCCCCTTCTGACCACCGCTCCCTCTTCACAGCCCCATTCCACCAGAAACTAAACATGTTTGCGATCCTCGTCGCCTTTCTCTCGACATCTCTCGCCTCAAACAACCATCCTACCGCCCCGAGTCCTACCCTCTTTGACCACGTCAGCTATCCTCCGCCATCCAGGTAATCATGTGGCTTTTCTCTTTGTGCTTTGCCTCGTACAAGATGAGTAGCGTTACATTCGCGACTGCTTCAGACAGCGGCAATCACCTGCGGCATCGCTGCGCATACCTCCACCGTCCCACGCTGGAAGCCTGTGCAAGTGTAATGTCTATATCATATACGTGCTTGTTTCAACTTTCACCGCCCAGCCGACGACATGCTGAGCATGCGGTCGTGTCTCCGGAACTTTTCACCTGTTCAAAGCAAGGATCGTTCCCGAGGACCCCTGTGTCATGCCCACCTCTCCCATATGCCGACTTCTTTGACTACACGTCCCACACAGCATTCATCTGCCCATTTCCGAACGCAGTGAAAACACATCGAACAGCGCCGGTGCGACAATGTGCGGCTTTTTTTTTCTTGGGAAATGGACTTGCATGCAGAAAGCTGATCGAAATAAATGATACTAGTATCGGAAGTATTGCGAAGAGCGGCCGTCCAAGTGATTTTAGTTCCTATGCAAGCACGACCCTCTCTGCTGTGCCTTTGTCGGCCTGTAACGTCCGCTCTAAGCCGCAGCTGTTGTGTCACTCATTCTGCGTCGGTCATCTGAGTGTTTCCTCCGCGTCCTCGGCTTAAAAATAACAAGGCAGCTTCAGGCAAACACACCTTGTAGCGACATGTCTCATTTCGGCGGGTGGGGTTTTTTCTTTTTCTTTTTTAGCAGCTGCATATGCACGCCCAATCTTACTCCGCGCTCGGGAGGCACCTCGCTGTGTGCGTTAGCGTATGACGAAAGGGCGGGGGCCGAAGGAAGCAGGATTTCGTACAATTATCTCTGCCGTGTAGCCATTTTTTCCTTCACAAAGTTCGTTGGCATAAATCCTGAGTTGCGCGAATGCGATTTAGGCTTGTCTTGGATGGGAGGGGGACAGGTATTGGCATGCCGCACAACGAGTGCGAGACACGACTATCACCTTACCAAACACATGGAAATTTTCCTTCAGAAAGACGCATAGACAGGAGGGTGGGGTGGTCAATGACAGTAGAGCCAGTTTGTCGCAGGTTGAAACAAGCCATATAAGTCAGTATTACCATCAGCACAAGTAAGGCTCCCGCCCTGGTAAGGACAGTTGACTGTCGATATCTCCTCCTTTGCCCTCTTCTTATTCCTTTTTCTCTTCTTTCCCTGGCCATCCTTTCTAATTCTAGCAGAGAGCACAACAGGAGCGCTTCAGGGAGTGCTTGACCCTGCACGCCACGGCTTCATTTTATGCTTTGTTTCTATGGTGGGGAATTTCTGCCCTACCATGCCGCAGGGATCCCAGTGCTTTCTGTTGGAAACCAGGAAAAATGGTCGCCTTTCGATCCTGCTCGACATTCAGATGGACGGAATCGACCGGGATGCTGAAAGAATGCGCGCACCTCAGGTAGTCATTGCCCGGTCGAATAATGGCAACATATGCGTCGTTTGCTCGGTCCATGTGCTGCAAGACCCTCTGCACGACCATTTGGTCCCCGGCTGTCCCAGGAATTGGCCCGAAACTGTGGCAGTAGCCTCGCCGGGGGGTTTTCAAGGTCGTGATGGCCTAACACATGATCACAGCCCGCCGCCGTCTCCGAAATCCATGGACAGCGGTTGGGCCGGATCATACCATCAACGCCCGTCCCGCTGCCTCACGGCAAGCCCCGAAGAGAGCGGCCACGCCGCTACAGTCAACCATGGCAGCCCTGAAACTGCTTCCCGCATCGGTTCTGCTTCTCCACCAGGGCTAATGCCGGTGAGCACTTCTCACCTTACACCGGCATCTCCCTGCGGCGGATCATTATCCTGCCCCCGTCTTCGCCGTATCCACTCTCATCAGGACCTCCGTCGCACTCTCGGAATCTTCTCTGCTCGGGGCTTACCTAACCACAGCATTGACTGGGAAGGAAAGGATTTCCACACGTTCGAGGAAGGCACGCGGCAACGGGCGGCGCTAGAGATGACTGGAAAAGGACGAGAAGATATCACCTCGGGTACTACACCAGCCATCGTCAGCAGTAGAAACAACCACGCCAATTACCATCATCGCCAGCAGCAGCAGCAGCAGCACCGCCACGTGGTACAGCCCGACGAGAAGCGATCTCTTCCCCCTTCTCCCCCTGATCCCGGCTCACCATCCTCCTCCTCCTCCTCCTCCTGCTCCTCCTCCTCATCGTCGTCGCCGTCGCCAATCGTTGTTTTACGCGTGTCAGGCAAGCCCTTCCGGCTCCTTCCCGGATCCGGAATGCCCACGCTGACCCACCTGGATCGCGCCATTCCGGCCGACGATCCTCGCATCGATCCGCATCACGAGCTCCACGACCAGCTCGCATGGGTTTCGTGCGTGTGGGACGGATGCTTGGTCCATGCACCGCAGAAGCTGCGCGCCCGGTGGATGCCGGGCCGACCGGGGGGCGTGTTGGTGCCCGAGGAGGAGGAGGAAGAGGCGGGCGGGGAGGATGCCGGCGGCTACCCCCCACTCACTACTGCTGCTATTTCCCTTGGCGTCATCGAGGATCACCAGATTGGCGATCATTGGACCGTGCGTGCTTATGCAGAGAATATGCTGGAAGTCATTGTTCCGGAGAGTCCCGAGAGAGAGAGAGTTGCGATTTTTAATGTCGAGAGAAAACAAAGTTCTTGAACCTTTTTCCTTATATGAAAACTTTCTTTGTCTTTTGGCTGTAGTCGACCCGCCTTTTTTTCTTTTCCCTGTTTTGAGCCCTCTTCGATGTTAAGCTTTCATTGGCTTTTCGACGCAGTGCCCGATGCTTTCTTGTACACAGACTGTGGGGACTGAGCAATAGGAGCCTTCGCAGACCCAGTTATCTCTAAATCAAATGAATCTGGTCTATGCAGTTCTTGAGGACGGAGTTTGTGACGAGATCGATTGAATAATGCAAATGAATTGAATTGAATATTGATGGAGCAATAATACGGGTCTATATACAGCAAATAACTGGAATAATGTCATAAAGTCTAATAAAAAAAAATGCCGATTTGGTGAGGAGAGGTACGAGATGTCTACGCTGGTATTGAAAAAAAAGCAATGAAACGCAGCAAAACACCCAGCAATGACAATGGGTAGTGATGAGGTTGGACAATAACCCTCCTGAAAAAAGAAAGCCCTCTATTTCGCCGTAGAACAAGAAATCATTGAAAGTCTATCGAGGGAGGACGCTCGGCGGCTACAAAGCGTTGACAATTACTCATCATAGTTCACGCCCTGTTGTTTTGCCAGGCCCAACCGAGGCGGAGTGGTGCTTCGGTCGAAGACAACGAACTGCGACTTGATGAAGATATCGCCGAAGATTGAAAATGGGATGTCGTCGCTCTGCTGCAAGCCTCCGAAGCACGCCGAGCCGCCAGCCGGGGCGAAGTTAAGGAAGCTGCCCGGCACAGTATGAGCCTGTCCGCCAATCTGCAAGTGGAGGGCTGGCAGGTCGGCGTCGCAAGAGAACGTCCAGCCGCCATTGTCGGCATTGAATGAGGCGCCCGTCACGTTGGCGTAGTAGGAGCGCGCGATGTCGGACGGTAGGACGAGCAAAGTCGTGCCCGTATCCATGATTCCGCTGAATTGCTTGGACGTGCTGGAGCCGCTCCCAACAGCATAAGCAGTCGTCTCGAATGACCAGAAGCCATCGGAGGAATCCACATCGACGTACGTTATGGGGTCGACGTATTCGGTCTTGTTGAGGTAGCCAAACGTGTACGTTCCGGAGGCGTTCTTCTTCAGATTGGCCGTGAAGAGCGGCTGAGGTAGACTCGGGGCAATGGCGCTGAACAAAGAGTATTGCTTGCTTGGCTTGATTGTGTTGAGCTGGTCAAAGCCAAGCCCGAGTAAACCATCCTGCCCACCGCTGACGAATGATGCAGATGCGTTTTCGGCTGCTTCGACGTATTGGTTTTGGAAAGTTAATCCGCCAAGCGTGACGCTGTCTGAATAGACAATGCCGCTTGCAGAGCTGCCGTCGAGGTAGGTGATTGCCCAAGTCGAATTTGCAATAGGGTTTCCTGAAGGATGGTACAGCTGGTGGTTTGCAGTTTGGTCTTCCGGCTGAAGTGTAGAGAAAGACCAGCTTTCAAGTCGAGTAAGTTAGCAAAATTTAGTGGGAGAGGGGACCGTCGCCGCCTTGTGAGAGCACTTACAGGTCAGATGATCCACTGTCAAAGTCGAGGTATACTTGACTCGAGCCGAGGGTTACTGGGCACTTGTAGGCCACATCATAGACATTCTGAGATAGGGCGGGAACAGAGCCAGAAGAAGCATCATCGGAACCGAGCTGCACAGCTCGAGATACAGCCCTCTGAACATATTCTGGTGCCTGGAATCCTCTCTTTGTATAAACAGCTGCCAAAGCAGCTGGCCCGTTTCGTGATGAAGTTCCGTAAGGCACTTGATTTATCCTGAATCCTTCGTTGGTGGGCCTCGAGAGAACAGCACCATCGCATTCAGTCAGGAAGGAGGAAGAGAGCAGTGCAAAAAGGAGACCTTTGATGACAGCCGTACGCTTCATGGTCAAAATCGATAAGAAAAAAATGATGTCCTGGAGGGTGCTGTTGCTGATGTTTCTGTGCTGCGCTTGAACAACTGAGATGGTGATGATGAGAAGCATACCAGGCTGGTGGTAAGATGTTTATATACACGAACTGACGCTTCGATGCATTATTGAGAAGACTGAAAGATTGGTATTATGCTAGAAGAGCGATGCACCGTAGTATCCACAAAGATTGAAAATGTTACCATATCGTAGATCCATTATCCAGAACTGTCGGCCCGGTATGTCCGAAGGTAGAGGGTCTTTGCCATGCTACCGTTGTCACGCGGCTTACCATCCGGCTGGTACTGGCACCAAATATCCGGGTGTACCGATATTGAGGGAAGGAATCGCGCTCAAGAACCAAAGGCAGAGCCTCCCGGACACTTGGTGACCAATTGTGCTACCTTGAAATCCCAGTAACAGCTACGGGAGTGTGCGCCACGGTTCGTGATTAGCTATTCAGGCGGAAGCTTTCATGAGAAGGTCATTTTCTTGGGGTCCCACCTGCGGTTCTGGAACCAGGGGCGTACCGAATTAGTCGTGATAGCGAATAGGTTCAATCAGAATCCTTGTTGACATTGCTTTGATTGGAATTTCTCTGACGTTACAGAGTGTCCCATAGGGCTATTGCAGACCGTTTATACGTCTATACTCCGATTGAAGTCATCATTCATGTAAAAGAATATACTACAATCATTTCAGCCAGCCCGGCGGCTTTGATGCTCCGAGCTTGAATCATACCAGGAAATTGAATTAGAGTGCTAAGTATGATGTCGACCAACCAAATTATCACGTCGACGATGATGGGCACGACGGATAAACCGGGACTTGAATATTTTTTTGAGAACTTCCTAACACCCCATTGAGCTAAATTCCTCCGAGTTTCATGTGAGCTAGCAAGCGAATTGAAAGAACCATGGACTAACCACACGAATTAGACCATTTCCGTCACTGTCTTCTTAGACACAAGTCCTACAATTGCGGACCCCATGGATCCAGGGAACAAACAGCATAGCTTCTAGAAGCTTCATCATACCTAGAGTAGGATTCTGGTACGGATGACCCTGCAACGTAACGAGGTTACAGTATGCCAGGCCAGGTCACGTTCCGATACTGTGGATATACAAACCAAGTTCAAAGAACCTAGGCGGATGCGTGAGGCAGTGCTCAGATTTAGTGTGGGGTTAGCCGTTGTATACGACACCGATTACTATGAGCCATACGCTATTAGCACGAAATGACGACGTATATACCTTTGTCCAAAGGTTCAGGATCTCAATTTTCATGCGTACACCTCGGACGAACATGGAAAATTCTAGTCTACTCCAGTGATATCAAGCAGGCCGGCAGAATTGGAGACTGGTGAATGAGCTTTTGGCCTCTGAAAATGTTACAGGAATAAACGGTTCTACTACTTCAAAGCTAGCGAAGCATTGGCGGGAAGTATTGTTAGATCTACTGCTGCAGCGCTCTCCATGTTTCATGGTACACAGATACCAACCCGGAAGCCTGATTTTTTGTTCCTGTTCGCCACGCTTCATTACGGTTTACCAGCAGCCAGGTGTCTAAAATTTGGCTGATCCTAACACAGCTGACCTGCGGGTGCGCTCGCCTTGCGTCGGCATAGAAACGTGACCCGAGCCAGGGCTTCCCAATTTAGAAAATGTCCGAAAGGGATGAAATCAAATTGCACTGGGACAAGTGCAAGTCCAAAGCGGACCGTGCTTCCCTTTCTGTAAGTCGGACTTCCCGAACCGGGTCCCCATATTCGTCTCCCTTGCTAGTATTACGTAGACGTGCGCCGTCCCCGAGCCGTAGTCGATACCCATGACGTTTCCATGCCGACCACGAGCATTCAGATGAAGGGCAGTTTGCTTGAGGGGATTGAAGAGCATTGAGTAATCATTACCTCAAAGACAAGACGGTCGGAGGGTAGGCCAAGTTGCTCGTTGCTGTGCCATTCAGATGAGAGAAATGTAATTTTCGTCCTGCCTGTGTACCGCATGATTCCTCCACGTTTCACTCAACAAGCAGATTATCCTGTTCTGCAAATTTGTATCAGCTCCAGTCTTATGCGCATGGATGGCTCATAGCCTCAGTCCTTCTGTGTGGGGTTGAACACTGCTGCTGCGCCCAAATCTAAATGGGAAACATCTTGATCTTCATCTAGCTCCTGCAATACGCCTTCAGCCATGCAAGCAAGTGGGTCTAGTCCAATTCCGCGCATGACGTTCGTTTTCTCACAAGCTTGGATTGAAATACCCTGCCTCACTTCTTCCAATGCAACCCCTTCCAGTTCGGTGCTTCGAAAATGTTGATTTTGTGGAGTCACTCGAATGTGAACCGGACGCAGTTGTGGTGTCGCGGGGATGGAACGCCAGCTACTGTTGTGATGTCTGTCATTCCAATCTTCTCCCCACAACCCGGCTCCTGACGATGCGCGTCCTCGGATAGCAGTTAAGCTCTGGCGTAGCAGTCGAACCTCAGAAGTAGGAATCGAGGCTCGAGAGCCTATGGGAATTGTTCGTATTGATACTGCGTGGAGTCTACCATTGCGATCCGCTCTGGACGACATTTGGCTATGGAGGTCACTAATATTGCTCTGACAATTCTAATACAGATATCTGGTCAATAGGAGTGGCTAGAATACAGTCGTCCAGGGGAGTTTTCTTACGGAAATATCAGCTTCGCGATTGCAACTCACATACACACGTAGGAAGAAAGAAGTTCACTACCAAACCCGGAAGGTTGAAGTTGAGATATACGCGTAGAAAGATCAGTCTGCCATGTGCTAAATACAAGGTATATGAATGTTTGGTATCTGAGATAAAGTTTCATGTGAGTACATTTTAGGCGCATTCTCGACTAATGCAGGTTTGCATGATGTTAATGCAGTGTCTCAAGCATGAAATACCTAAGCGGATATGGGCATAAGTACGACAGTCAACTGGTCCATAATAAGCAGGTATGAAGAACCAATTTTCCGATTTCAAGCAGTTTGTTACGCACTTGCGCAAACCTCACATCACTTGGTGCAAGATAATGCTTAGCTCCCTACCATTGGGTTGGGGCGCCGAAAGGACCGGCCTGGAGTCAAAATCAGCCCAAGCGTGCTGTTAGCGAATATGTAGATATACCTTCGGACGTGGTTACAAACAAGTGATCGATAGCCTGCAAAAAAATGGCTGCCGTGGACTTTGGAGGGTGCTCGTGAACTGGATAATGCCTCTAGCTGGGTACGAGACACGTTGGCCGTCTTCTCGACATTATTTTCGTTGAAACTACAGTGTATGACAGCACGATCTCAAGGTATGCCGAGTGCCGATTAGGCGCGATATAACATGCCTGTTCATATATTGATCAGAGCAGTTTGGTGACTGCTTTGTGTTGACTGCAGAATTGTGCAACTGTTTCGTGTGGTTCAGCTCATGAAAGCATGAAGAGAATCTCCTTTTGTACAACGGATTTTACCAACAAGGAAAATTCCTGCACTGTTTTAGCAAGCTGTATATGCAAAAAGCATCTCGATAACGCCCTGAGACGGCGCTACGACCAGAAAGCAAGGGTCGTGAAATTAAAACTCCTCGCGGCGCCGGGTGCTGTCCTAAAGCGGTATGTTCCCGGAACTGATCCCTATATAGGGACGTTTTCAGCAGAGTATATTGCGTGCTACGGAACATGAGAAATGAGTCCTCATAACTATGAATACTCTTATTCTAGTGAGGATAAATGCTCATCCACCATCCCATCTCGTTACATCACTTCAGGAGGCATCTGCAGAGCTTCTTTATGTGTTTGAGAATCCAGATCCTACTGTCGACCGCACTCGACTGTTGCGGAAGATCCTCGCGACTGCACAAGCCATTCGAGAACTAGAGCATCCCCATGAGTACGCACCAAGCCAGAGATGGGAGATTTGTCATTACTTGTCGATGTGGGCTCCGGCGCTGGTATCCAGCCACTCGTGAGTATTGCAATGTGTCAAACAGTTTGTGAAATGTATCCCCACTGATGACGCGTATTGTAGGCCTGATAGGTTGCGGCGTGAAGCTCTGAAAGTTCGAAACACAATTCAGAGACTGATCCCGATAGTGGAGTCGTTAATTCAGTGCGTTCCCAGAAAAAGGTGTATACATCCTTCGTACTCACTATTGATGGTAGAAGGATGGGCTGAGGTGCTATTGAGATTTACAAGCTTGCACTGTGAACAATTGGCGGTATACACGAGCACGCCTGGCCTGCGTTTGAAGATCCAGATGACAATCCCAATATTGGAGAATAATAGTTATACCTCTGAATCGCACTATCTTCGCTCGTTCTACTACAATATAGTAGATTAAATATCTCTCGGTGTATCTGTTATTGAGATGTGAGAGAAGCATATCATGAACCAATGGCATTATAGTACACTATTGGGTTTGGATTTCGAGATGTAAATTTTGAGTTTGCATTCTAGAGATTTGGTTGCAGCCTACGAACTAATCCAAAAAAACATTCCCAGCAGGGCCTGACTGTTAGCCACGACATTAACATACTTACTTAACCCCTAAGGGAGATGTTCCGAAGTGGATCAATAAACCGGGAGTACGTAAGATTCCAGAGGGTTCCGGAATGGTGGTCAAGAAGGCATGTACATTTGCAACGTTCTGGATTAGTTGGCACCGCAATGGCCGGCGCTGCCTCAAAAATGTTCAGGGAATCAAAACATCGTTACTGTTGACCTGGAATGTCTTCAGAATAGCACCGACGACCGCAACTTATAAATTAATTCGGGACCCTTTGCCTGTGTCCGTTTTCCACAGAACCATATTCCAACATGCTGTTGATCTCGTTCCTTCTCGGCTCTTTGAGTCAGGCCATTACCATTGCGGCGTTGTCTTTAGCGCATGCGGAGATTGCTGGGCACGAAATTTCTGGAGTCTCACAGGGTGCTTTCAGACTGCAACTCCGGAAACTCAGCCCTGCCAAATCATGTGGCCGTGCCCATGGACCTCAACAATACCTCGGACGAGACGATTTCAGCACCGACGATGTCAATAATGCCGTTTTTTGGCACCTTCAAGAAGGTCAACTGA